CTGACCTGCTGCAAATTAAACTGCAAAAATCAGTGTTTGCAGAAGTTGAATAAGAATCTTTGCAACACAAAAACACAATCTGCTTTTTACTCTGCGTGCAGTTGTCAACCTTTCCACTTGTCCTCATTGCACACTTTTTTTTTTTGTTTTTTTTTGTGTACAGGACTACTATAAAATTACTTTTCCTTTGTAATTTTATTCAGTTAGTTTCAATATTGTAAACATGCATTTACCAAACCACAGCACATTGGTAATCACAATGCTGACTAAGCAGAGGTACAAAGACGTTTGAAACATTAATCACATTCTCTCAGTAACAAGTCATGCTGCCTAATCATACATTATGAACATCGCTCGTTCTAAACAGAAAATGAAGAAAAATACTTAAAATAAACAGATGCTAAACATGTTACTACAAAGATGTTCTTAAATATGACAAAATAACATGTGTAAAACTGTTTAGGCCCGTGGTGTTCTCTTCTGTCTTATACTGAACACAAACTATTTTTTTGGACTGGCACAAATAATTTGTGTGCCTTCTTATTTGATGCAGAACACCTGATTGTTGTGTAAATAGATTTAAATGGTTATATAAAAAACTCCTGAGGCCTTGGCTGCATTTTTAGGTAATAGTACCATATAACCTTGTTTGCAAAACTTGTGCATGAAGTTCCCAAATTGATATAAAAATTGTTCATTTTCAAAAAGTGTGTCCTCCTGAATGGGATTATAAGCTAACAAGCAGCGCTGTGTGTTTGGCAGATGGAAGGTCATGACGGAGAGTTCAACTCTCATCCCACTTTTTGTTATAAAAGTTATTAAAAAAGTTGTTATAAAATTATATTTTTGTTATAAATGCATTCAAAAAATGTTGTCATAAATGTGCTACATTGGTTGTGCATCAACATTACTTTAAAAACACTGACAAGACCATGAGCAATTATCTGGAATAACTAATTTTAACATCGTTTGTCTTCTTAAATTTTTAGCAACAACACTTAATGTGTTTTAAAAACAAAATGGTAGGTTTATAAATGAGACTGAGTCTTATTTGATTTCCTTGTTTTAGGTCTCAAACATAGTCCA